ATAATTTTATTTATAATCACATTAAATTTATTGAAATACAAACTAATGGTGTTAACGATTTATTTAAATATTTTTCTTTGGCTAATTTTAAAAACTTATTTAGTGAAAATTTGAAGAATTCAATAAAATCAAGATTAAGAGGTATAAAAATTTTTTACATAAAAATACATATAGCTATTTTAATCAATACAATGTTAAAAAATTATTAAATTATTTAGTTAAATATTTATTAATTAAATTTTGAATAGATATAAATCTGAGATTAAAATATGATATTTTTTTTATATATGATGAATAAACAATTATAGACCCAAATAAGAAAAACATTATACATTTGTCATACTGAACTATCATAAATTAATATTGAATTATTAATTCATTGTTAACGTTCGAAAAATGGCATTAAAACTTTTTGACAAATTATCTCGGAACTTTATTGAAGCTGAAAATAAGAAAAAATCTTTTATAGCACATTAAAAATGTCGTTCATGATTCCGTAAAGAACTAGGAAATATTCAGCCAGATTAGTATAATATCAAGATAATCGTCAAGCCGAATATTTCTGTTTATATTTTGATGTTATTCCTCAGTAAGTTATGAAAATATTTATCATCATTTTATAATTTTTTATATAGATATATTTATAGTGTAATTGTTAATTTAGAAAATGTTGAAATTTGGTTTTAATGCTAGTTTCTGATGAATTTGAATTTTCAGAATTAACCAACAAGTTAGAAACTTTTTTTATTGATGCTAAAGCTTCTTGGTTAAGAACTCGTTTTTCTCTTATTTATCTTATTTATAGTACTATTTTTAGTAAAAATAACTTTAGAAAATTAGGAAATTATTATGATGATATTGTAACAAAGTATCCAAATCTAATTTTTGATAGTTTGATTTTAATTCTATTTTAATTAGTCTCTTCTCAAACGGGATGATTTGCAAATAGAAGTTAAAATTTTGGAATGTATTATCAATCTGGAAACTTCCCAGAATACCAATTTGCCTACAAATGTTGAAGAATGAACTTATGAAAATTTCTTACTCTACAACAATGCTTACCATGTGTTCGTTATTTTCAGCTTCAAATTTTAAATTTATGATAAATTTAGGCCTTACAAAAAAATTCTTAGTATTAATAATAGATGTTTCAACTGAATATAATTTATTAAATATAACCTACTTCAAAATAATAAAGTAAATTTACATCTCTGACTTAAATAATGAAATTATTTATCTCCATTTTCTAAAAAATTTAATAATATTATTTGATAATTTTCAAAAAGTTTCAAGTAAAATGAAAAAAAAAATGCATGAAAAATAATTTATTTTATGTACTACTTTTAGTGAAACGAGTATACTTCGGATTCTATAATGTTTAATTCAACATTAAGTACTTGTATTGATGATATTTGTTTACTGATAAATTTATTTATAATAAAATTTAAAGTTTTCATATTTATTTAATAGATAACAAAAATGAATATAGATAGCATAACAAATAAAAAGAAAAAAAAATATTTTTTCATTGTTTAAGATTCTAACTTTAAATATAATATCAATAGAAAAGTCATCTAATGATATTAATATTCTTATATAGATTATTTGTTGAAGTACATTTCGGTTAATCCAAGTTGAAATTTCTGCTGCAATGGTAGAAATGGAGTTTTTGGGTCATTTGAATGAAATCTGAAATAAAACTGTTCTTGCTGGTAATAAATGTTGAATGTTATCTCCTCTCAAAGTTTAATTGAATCCCAAAACTTCTTCGGCTGAAAGATGAAAATAATAAGCATTGCTGTAATATAGTTAGTCCATCTTTCAAAATTTGTAGGCAAATAAGAATCAGAGAAATTTCTTCACTTGATTACATAATCCCAAATTTTAATTTCTTCGTTTGAGAAGAGATACTAGTGCAGATTCTTTAAAGAGAAGTAAAATTCAGAATCAAAATATTTGGCAATCACAAAATATTTTAAAATCTTGAAATTTTTGTTTTTGAATATCAAAATGTTATGATAGACTAGAAGAATTTTTAATTTGTCCAAGTTCCAATTCGTCAGAAGCTAAAATAAATCTAGTATATGTATTTTCTAAATTAGCAATTCCTCCATAAATACAAAAAATAACTACATTTAACCAAGCCCTCTACCCTCTGTAAAACACTTATCTATTTATGAAAAAGTTAGAGGGTGTTACATTTTATTATCACCACATCAACACCTCCCAACATTCAATTTTTTTTAGGGACTTAGAATTTTTTGGTGTTGAAATATAATTTGTATCACCCAGAGACCCAGCTACTCTATAAATTTAAATTATATTTATAGTATGTGGGTATTTGAATTCATGATTATTGAAATCAATGTATCAGTATCATATAACAATTCTCTGATCAATTATAAATTAATCAATATAAATTATATTACAGTTTATTAGTCAATGTTTCAATATCATATAACAATTCTCTAATCAATTATACACCAATCAATATTACAGGGAGTGAGTATTTAGGTTCATAATTATTGAATCAATGTTTCAATATCTTAATATCTTATAACAATTCTCTAATCAATTATAAACTAATCACATATATACTATATTACAGTGAGCGAGTGTTTAGATTAATAATTATTGAAACCAATGTTTCAATATCTTATAACAATTCTCTAATCAAATATAAACTAACCAATTAAATTATATTACAGTGAGTATTAGATTCATAATTATTGAAATCAATGTTACAATTTAATTCAATATCAAATAATAATTCTTTAATTAATATCAATAATACTTTTTAATTTTTTTGGAAAGTGTAGTAAATGTCATCAATATAACACTGGAAGAAATTGGTGCCATCCATGTATTGCCAAACATTTTCAAAATGAATTTGATAAATGGACAGGTGGAGACAGAGAAATTGATAAATTTATTCAACAAATACATACAACTAAATGCAAATAAGTGCAAGAAATTATTGAGTGGATTCCATTTGACAGACTTGAAAATATCACATTCCTTGGTAAATTGCACAGTATACAAACATATTGGCTTGATGGGATTATTATGTGTTGGATTTATAAAGAAAAAACTGGTGGAGGCTTTAAAAATCTTGGTAATTTCACAAATAAAAATGATTTTTGCAAGAGGTAATATTTTATGTTATTTAATTCATTATAATGATTATATTTTATACTAATAAATATTTTAGATTAAAAATCAACTTAAGCTTCGAGGTAAAAGGGAATTTTGATATTTGTCATTACTAAACACTTAACAAAAAATGAATATATGATGGTTATGTATTGTGCAATACATGGCAGTCTTCGAAAAGTATTGAACAACAAGTTTAAAGAATTAACGCGTAAAGATTTCATTCTAGTAATATAGTTAGTCAAGCTGTAGATTTATTATGTAATTCCATACATGACACCTGAGACATTGAGTAAAAGCATCTGTCATTTATTCTTTTGGTATGGTAGAAGTTCTAACTAGTTATCCATCATATTAACATAATGCAAATCTGTAATGAAATTTGTGAAGGGCATAAACCTGTAATTAACTCAATCACTCAAAGAAATAATGTAAAATGCTGGAATCTCAACGTGATAAATGTAGATATGATAATTAGCAAAAAATTTGAGACAGATAATTTTATTCAATATGCTCCTAATGAAATGATCCTGAAGCAATATGTACAAGTAGACTTATTTCTAAACTTATATCTAAACTTACAATGCCTGAATATGATACCTTGGTAATTTTTTATTTAATTAAAAAATATTTGTATAACATATTATTAAATTAATAATTTGGAATAATTAAACATAGGGAGTAAATAATATTACAAATTTATTTATGATTTATTGCTATTATTTTACTTAAATGAAAATTATTATTAAAAGAATCAAAAAAATGATCAATAAACAGTTTTTTTTTGAATTTTTACATGGTTTAACATCAAATTATCAAAGTGAATCTTAATTAGGTATTTATTTTATACAGTTCAATATAATTAATGAATTAAAGATTTTTATAGAAAAATTATTAACAGTACAATTAAGGGAAAGCGACTGTGGTTTCGTTGAGGATTATTTTCGGGACCATGTACCAGCTATTATTAAAAATTTATAAGTTTTCATTAATTGGTATGAACTAATCCTTAATTGTAATGATAACAAACAACAACAATTTCTTTGACTGTGATAAAGTTCCTTAGCATAATTCTACCAGAAAATAATGAACATCATGTGCAATAAGTTAAAAATAGTTTTTTTCAGAACTTGAGAAAAAAAAACGAAAAAAGGGAATTTTATTTATAAATTTTTTATATATTTTATTATTGAAACGTTAATAAAAAATGAATATTATGATTTATGAACAACACAATCTTGTTTCTTATGTCTTTTCCAATCTTGATTCTGACAATTCTTAGAACAATAAAATGCAGACTTACATTTACTACACGTACCACCACCACTTTTGATATTAAAAACCTTTTTACAATTTTTACATTCTCTAGAATCATTTGTAATATCATCAATATTTTTAATACTTTCATCTTTTTCATCATTCCAACCATATTCACCACCACTCTCATTATTATTATATTGAGATGATAAAAAATCAATCCAATTATCAAAATATTTATCATTGGTTTGCTTAACTCTGGATAAAGTAAATTTGTTACTTGATGGTAAAATAGTAATTGATCCTATATTACATTCTAATATCCAATCAAGATGCGATTCATAGAATGCAATAGGAAGATGAAATGAACAGGTTAAAGTTGGAGATTCCGTCGCTGATAAAGAAATACTATCAAAGTAATAATGAGATGGTTGATCTTGATCCTTATTGTTATTGTCACTTTTTTTGGTATTTTTTCCTTGCTTTTTTCTATTTCTTTGATTTTTGCGATTTTTGTGATTTTTACTCATAGAACTTGAAGTGGTTGGTTTGATCAATTTAATAAATATTGCTGATTCAGAATCTACCTTTGATAACACATCTTTATCAACTAACCATATGAAAGTATATTTTGCAACCGGTAATCTCAATTCTTCCAATGCCATTTCTTTTTCTTGTTGTTTTTCTTGTTGATGTAAATTCGATAACCACCACGAAAGATGCATAGACATGAAAGTCTTTAATTCTATTAAGTGATTAATAAAATTTGGAACTTTTGTAGGTCCTTCTAAGAAGATAAAAGTATATATAAACTCCGACATGATTTTTTCCGGGAATCGGATTAACATTATTTGAAATAAGCGAACTAGAGTATTTATACTAAGTCCTTTAATTCGATCATTATGAGGTTTGCAACAAATAGTTGCAATTGATATAACATGATTTAGTAAACTAGTTGAACCTGAATCAATTTCTTTTCCTTTCTTAGAAGAAGATTCTAATTCAAGTTTAGAAGTAATATCAAAATTCCAAGTAGCATAAACTGCAAAATCTTTATAATGGCAATTATCCAAGGTGATTCCTGTGAGATAACTGAAAATATTCAATTCCACACCAAGTCGTTCTTCAATAAATTCTTTCATAGGTTTAGGAGGGGGACCAGATAATTTCATTAATTGTAACGAAAATAAATTATTCGGTTTTTTTACATTTTTTAATCTTGGGATTGCTACTAACAGTAAATTAAGAAGCGATATAAAATCAGCTAAATTTGAACAATCAATGATATTAAATTGTGTCGAAGAGGATAAACGACATAATAGAATATCAATGGCATCTCCAATAATTGGTATAATTTGAATCTTCGACTTGATATTATTTTTTTCTTTGGAAGTTTTTGTGGGAGAATGTGTAGAATGTAGGAGAGTTTGTAGAGAAGCAAATTTTGGTAATAAAGATAATAATAAATGATCATAAAGATAAAGATCAGGAATTTTTTGGGGAGCAGTAGGAATTTGATCAGATAAATTTGGAATCCTTTCAATAGGTTTAGGAATTTCATCAGAAAGATTAGGTATTTCGTTAGAATTGGATTTAGAAAGATCAGGAATAATTCTAAATGCTCTAAAAATACAAGAAGTAGGATAAACATCAAATTCCATAGTAGGAGT